AGATTACCTCTTCCCCTGCCTTACTCCTTCGCCAAACACCACCCAGCTGCATCAGTATTTCTGTCTCAGACCTAGTAACTACAGACAACAGAACTTCTGAGTCCAAAGGACCTCTGAGGTCTAATGTTCCCACCGCCACTCTTCGCACACGGTCTCGCAGACTTGCAGAAGCCGCTGCTGTTGCCACACCGCTGTCCACGCGTTAGCGCCGCATAGCTCAGGGTAGCAGCCAGATCGTCCTCAACAGTTAGCATTCCTGTCTAGGAGTATCAGCACTTCACTGAAACCTCATATGGTGCAGCATCTTACTTTTGTTGGTTTACGTATTTTTTCTTAGATGTGGCTAGCATATTAGTAATGTAATGCAACTGAAAGAGAAAACTGTTCTTAACTGTTTTCCTAACGAGGCAGAAAGCACACTTAGAATTTGCAGTAATTTTATAGAGAATTACTACATGGAAAGAATAAAGGACAGTCTAGAATTCAAACGTTATCGTTGTGCCTGCTTGTTTTATAGGCTTAAATGCAAGTTCTTGTTCAGATTAGTCTATCTGCTAACAAGTCTTTTACACGTGTTTTTCAACTAAAAAGGTAATTATATTCATAGTCATCAAATGTGCAAAAGGTTCCATTAGCAACTAATTTTGAATTATACTACCTAAATACACAGTTTTGAGCTTTATGATAAAGCATCCAATTTCAGTTTGCTTTACCTGCTGTTCAGTAGTCACTATGAATTAACAAACAAGAACGGCACTCAGCAGTCTCATTCACATAAAAATATACAACAGCATCATAAGACTAAAAAATAGTATTTATGAAACCTAAGATCACTTTGTAATAAAAAGAGTATAATTTACAAAAACACTAAAGTGTCCTGCATTTCATGGAGAAAACCAAGATACAAGTACTTTCTAAGCTTCATCTAAAAACCGAACCTGACAAAATGACAATGAACTCAAAAAACCCGATTTTAAGGAACGCCCACTAAAAACGGAAGCTACTGGGAAAGCAGAGATTTGCGACATGATATGATGACAAAAAGGCACTACAAGACTGAGCCCTTCCTGCAGGTTTGACATCACCTACAGCAGGAGAAAGCAGAAGGAAATCCGAGAGGCTTTCTAGCAGTCGCGGGCCAGCAAGCGAACACACGTTAGCCGTGACACGAAGTTGCCACCGCGTTTGACTTGCGTGTCCCTCACGGCTGCCGTGGTGACAAGCCACACACTGACGGAACGCTGCTGATAATAAAACGCGACAACAGAAAACGACGAGCCTCCAGCAGCAGCGGGACGCGGGGTTACGCGGCGCTTCCCATCACAAACAAACCCTTCCCAGGCAAGGCGGCCGCTGGCGCTCCGCGGTTTAACGAGTAGCCGGGCTGAACAGACAGAGCTTCCTGCGGCCAGAGAACACCTCCGCCGAGGGTACCGGAGAGACTCCGCCGCGGGAGGCCGCACGACGCGGATCTCTAGAGCAGGCAGGCAGCCCCCACCCAGGACGAAGGGGAAGGAACAGGGCCGCCGCACGCAGCGCCGC